TTGACTTAGTCTTTGATATTTATTTTTCCTGCGGATTTTTGCTCCTTAATTCACTGTCTTTTGGTTAGTAAATAAGTCTGAAAGTAGTGGCAATAATATCTAATATTAGTTGAGATTTTTTAGCTTTTCAATTTGCTTGTAAGCCTATAAATAGGCACCTTCAATTCTGAAATAAAGCGTACGGCGAATAACTTGCATACTCTGCATTTGTGAGTGTTAATTTCTCTCTGCATCTTCCTTTTTCAATACTCTACTACTCTAAATTCCCAACACTGTGGACTTCCCACTTCCAGTCTTCTACTCTCTCCAACTAGAGGTCTAGAGCCAATAGCCATTATCGACGTCCGCTCGGGCTAAACTTCTGGGCTGGGTCCGCTCCTGGGTGTGAGTGGGAAAGGTGAAGGTGATGACACAGTTTTAGGTTTGGATGGGATGGGTATATTAACAAGTCTACAATTAAATAAGAGTTTGGTGCATTGACTACAATTTTCCCTAAAAAATATTTGTTCATGGAAGTAGGGACTTGCAAGTCGGCTCGACTTGCCCCACCCACAAGCAAGCTTATAGGGAAAGCCAAGCTTAAAAATCTCCAAACAAGTTGACATCTTGTCAGATATCCCACATTTCTACGAGAACTGAAATTACCTGAAAATTCATTCTCTTCACTCTTTAACAAGAATCGCCTGAAAATTTTGAACTTTTTTTCCATCTCTTCGTATTTGAAATTCAGAGAAAGAAGCGAAGAGAGAGAAATGACTCAAATGAGCAGCAGCAATGGAGAAACTTTAGTGGAAGCGGCACTTAGAGTACTACACACCGATGACCCATTTGAGAAAGCCAGGCTTGGTGATGAAGTTGCAAACAAATGGCTACAGGGCCACATAGTTCGCCCATACGATGATTCAGTAGATATTGTTGTGCCTGATCGGCCTTCCCGGCTCTCAAATGTAAGTAATGAATAACTTCATTCCGTTGTAATCTAACTGTTTGACAAAATGTCTCACTGGTGTTTTTGCTCATGTTGGAAATTTGTTTATGGTAATGCACGCAGGTGAAGTTGGTGTCGCCGAGTGAGATGCCGAAGCTGGGGAAAGCTGGGAGTTTGCAGAGTAGACAGTCTATTGTGCACAGTCTTGTGCATACTGAGAGCTGGGCTATTGATTTGTCTTGGGTACCCTTTCCTTTCCTCTTTTTTTTGGTCCCTCACCCCCACCACGACAGCTTACACATGCGAACGCACAGCCCAAATTGCTGCCTCATTTAGTTACTATATGAAATGAAAATGTTGTGTGATTACTCGTTGCTTTAAGCATTTCGTAACAAAACAATGACTAGCTTTGTTAAGCAAATAAGACATTTATGTTGAAGTGAACAGAATGGATGGATGGATTTAGTAGGGAAGAACAATTATATTGTCTACGTGTACAATGTATTTGTATTAGTTTTCTGGAGTTATACGAGTAAAAAATTCTTTTGCCCCTCAAACTCTTGATAAGGTACCAATTTACTCTGACTTTCATGTCTTTTAATTTCCCTGCAAAACCTTCAACACTGTACCAATTTTTGCATCCTAATTAGCTAGTAGATCCAGATGGACATTGTTAGATAGCCTAGTACATGGCAATTATAAGGGAAAAAGGGAACTTTGTCCTAACAGAGAAGAAATATGACAAGAAACATGCCTAAAATAAGAAGGAATAAGAACAAAGAAAGCCAATCTCTCTTGTTCACACCTCATATCATCACTACTATCCCATTGCCAAGTGCCAACCCTAATCCACCATGTTCACCCTCTTAAAATAGAAAACTAAATAAATAAGAACTCTTATAGGGCCAAAACAATTGAAATAATAATTTTGAGTATGGAAACTGCAGGCATAAACCAAAGAGGAAATGATCAGGAAATGGAAAACCCCTCAACATAGTACCTAAAATTTGAAGACAGCAATTGCCATTTTAATTTTTTCATGCAAAGGAAAAAAATTTAAAATCTTTAAAGATTTCTTCCTTATTTACATTAGGAAATGTCACTGAACAATAAAATGCAATTTAGGGATCACACCAATCAATAACATTGCTACCAAAACCCAGCCACCACAACCAAATCTCCCAGTGGGGAGCAAGAGTGTGTGATCTCTTTCTCTTTCCTTTTCCCTTTTCCCAATCTATCCTTTTATGTAATCAATAGTAGTTGCTTAAAATAAAGATCAAAGGTAGTCTTCTGATGCAGAATACCGAGATGAATTATTTTTAGTACTTAAATTATATATTTTTTGAAACTAAATCAAAGTTAACCCAATACTTTATATTTGTAAATTGTAACATGAATAATCTAGTTGAGAGATTTTGTAAGGTCTGAAAGGAAGACCAGGAGTTGTTCGATGACCAAGGGTCTGTATTTCCAATGAATACCTGTACCTTGGGTGGTAGCGTAGCCAAAGAGTAATAAACTTGAATTCAGGATCATGAACTTATGAAGAGGTGTCTGGGAAATCTTCTAATCCCTCCTTGGTTTTACTTTAGGAATTTCTCAAAGATATCATATCTACAGCCATGGGATGTGATTAGAACAACCTCCTTATATTAATCAGCAATAATGTGTGTTATCTTGTGACATTTTCATGCTATGTCTTCCTCTCTATTATAGTTCAAATCAAAATACTTCTCTTTTTCTTTGGTCTTCGAAAGTTGACATATTCAAACCATTGAATGTGCAATTTATGACATTGAATGTTCCTTAATCAGTCTTTTCTTGTCTTTGACAGGATATAATTGCTCGTTTTGGTAAGCAGGACTCCATGCCTAGAGATTTTTTCACGGATTTTGTAAAGGTGGCGCAAGATGAAGGTCGTCACTTCTCTCTGCTTGCAGCAAGGCTTAAGGAATTAGGATCTTTCTATGGAGCATTACCTGCTCACGATGGACTATGGGATTCAGCTACGATTACTTCGAAGGACTTGCCGGCACGCTTAGCTATCGAACATTGCGTTCATGAGGTATTCTTATTTATTTGTAGTTGAAAAAAGAAAATGTATGGATGATTTTAAGTAAATGTGAAAATTTCACTATTGGTCACCAACCTATTGCCCCAAGTAGCAAGTTGGCCCTCAACCTTTCATTAAAGCTGCAAAATCAGTCACCAATGATGGAAACTTTCTAAATCTATATTAAATCATCCCATATCCCCAAGATGTTCAACTTTATAAAGCTTGATTTTGTCTTCCAATTTGGGCCTGTGCCAAGAAATTTGAAGTGAGGATTTCCATGAGCATAATATGACAATTTAATGAAAATTTGAACGTTATCGATTCCCAGGCAAGAGGACTCGATGTGCTGCCTACGACTATATCTCGTTTCCGTAAAGGAGGTGACGACAAGACAGCTGAATTATTGGAGAAGGTGGTTTATCCAGAAGAGATTACCCACTGTGCTGCAGGAGTCAAGTGGTTTCAGTATCTTTGCTTGAGGTCGAAAAATGGAGATGATGCTGCTTGTGGATCCCTTGTTTCCGAATTAAGTAAATTCCAACAAGGTGAAATTGAGAAGGATATATATGATAAAGTGATTAAGAGGTTCCATACAATTGTAAGGGCTTACTTCAGAGGGCCATTGAAGCCACCTTTTAATCAGACAGCAAGACAAG